CTCTAAAAATGTGAGGTGGAAAAGCTCATAATAGTTAACATTCCAGTTCCCGCGGATCGCAAAAAGTTTTCAAGTGACATCAACTCAAATATTGCTAAAGATCATACTAATATCAAAAAATTCGCAGACAAGGAAGCGTACAGAAAACAAGCAGATTTGCCCAGAAGTGAGTTGACTTGCCTACCTTCAGAAATACATATGCATTTAGAGGGCTTACATAATTAGGAAGAGCACCTTCACCTCCCTCAGAGACAGTACACGCTACTTTGGTTCATGTCGGTGAAGGAGTGGAAGAGAAGGCGTACAGTGGTGGTAAGATAAATAGGGAACTCGACTTGAAGCATCAAATCATCTACAGTGACGATGAGAAACAGCGTTGGTTGCAATCCTTTATTTGGAAATTTCTTCGTAGAGATGAAATATTCAGAATTCTCCACCCAAGAGAATAGAGCGGTCGAAAACTTTTACAATGCAAAGCCTATTCGTAAGCTAAATTTCACATTATGCTGCTTTTCTTTGCAGTACTAATTGTTCTAGCATCTCCAACATTCCAACGTCTTCAACATCAGTACACTCCCGAAGATGTCAGAATTACTAAAAATGACAGAAGTGACGAGAAACAGAGTTAGTTTGTTCGTTTACTCATTTTATTTTCCCCAAATCTGAGATTTAGGATTCTTTACAGAAGAAGGCAGAAGTTTGCTCGAGAGCTACCGTAACGTAAAGTCTATTTGTAAGCTTTCAACTTCATTTGGTTCTCATTGTCAGGAAAACAAGCTTCATTTCAGCATCTCCATCACTGCAGAGGATTCAGTATCAATATGCTCCAGAGGATGTAAAGAGTGGTAATAGTATTTGTCTCAGGGCAAGATACCTTTTTAAAATTCGAATGTTTAGGATTTTACGCTGACGGGCACAGAAAATCTGTGGAATCCTACCACAACGCGAAACCTATTCGTGGGTTGTTTCTAATTTTTCTTCTTGTCAATTCCTTGAAATAGACCGTTGCAGCGTCTCCAACATTTCAACGGCTGCAACATATCTATACTCCAGAAGATGTAAAGACTAGCAGAAATGATAGTGACGATAACGCGCGATGGGAAAGCAGCAAATCTGTGGACAAAGGTAGACTTAAACTGGTAATGAATTAAGTGGTGAGGCTTAACAAAGAAACTACCAGTTTCATTTCACGAAATTTTGAGAGGCTATCTTTGAAGATGCCTAATTGTTTGAAATACTCTGAAGTAACAAATGTAGTCGAGTGTGATATCCGCGGCATCCTCCATTCTTCATAAACGATGATATCCCATTTTAGCAAAAATCAACTATGTGGAGTTTAGATGAAGTTTCTGGTTGATTATAAGAGTTTTGTCGTGCTCTTGAGAATTTGTCTTTTCCCTTACCTTTCAGACTATATTATCAT